ACACACACACACACACACACACACACACACACACACACACACACACACACACACACACACACACCGCGCGCGAGTGGGGGACATGATGGCTTTATTGCATGGGGACTTTATAAAAGAAACACCCGCGCCGTAAAGTGAACAACGCCGAAATGCAGTTTATTTTCGCGAGTTGCGTGCGAGTTGTAAATTCCGGCGACAAAGCCGATGTCTATTTGACGCGTCTTGCGTTGTCTTCTTCTCGCTTTCTCCCTAATGCGATAAAGCAGGTAAGGTGGAACTAGGCCAACAGGTAGAAAGCCGGGGGGAGGGCTGGCGGGCGTCGCAAGAGCCACTAAGGGGGGTCCATAAAATCTCAGCCACTAACTTCGATATAAGTAACGCAAGCATCACCGTAAACGTTCGATGAACTGACACCGAGGACGTACACACGTTACGTTACAACGTTACGTTGCATTACGTTACGTTACGTTACGTTACGTTACGTTACGTTACGTTACGTTACGTTACGTTACGTTGCGTTGCGTTACGTTGCGTTACGTTACGTTACGTCACCTTACGCTACGTTACGTTACGTTACGTTACGTTACGTTACGTTGCGTTGCGTTGCGTTACGTTGCGTTACGTTACGTTACGTCACCTTACGCTACGTTACGTTACGTTACGTTACGTTACGTTACGTTACGCCACGTGACGTTACATACGACACGTTACGTTACGTTACGTTTCGTTACGTTACGTTACGTTACGTTACATATGACACGTTACGATGATGTCGTCACGTGAAACGCGCCACGGAATCGCAGTTGACATGAAACAAGAGATACTTAATCGCCTGAGATCGGCAATGCTTCGGAATCAGAGTTTTCGCCATCTCGTGACTAACGTCTACAACTAACCTTCCAATAATAGCGGAAATGTCTTTGCGATTATATGTAAAGTTGGGCACGTTTCATACAACCGCTTCGGGCCAAAACATTCTATACGAAGACACAATTACAAGTGAGATGCCAATGACAAGAAGAGTGATGATATCTTATACGATACGCCTTTCGGGTTTACGATCAACACCTTTACTGCATAGTTTTAGAAGCAGGAAGTGTGTGTAGAGGAAACCTGTGGAGTGTTTTTCTCTCTCTCTCTCTCTCTCTCTCTCTCTCTCTCTCTCTCTCTCTCTCTCTCTCTCTCT